AAATGCTTTTGTAGATCATCTCCAAAGAGAAAATCTGTAAATGGCAATTGGGAGGAGCAGAGAGCTGAGTATTCCTTCCCAATATCTGGTCTCAGAAGTAGACGCCGCTGCATGTTTATTTCATAAGAGGCATGAGTGAGGAGGGACATGGCCTCCAGCCCCAGTTTCTTTAAGTCTTGAAATTCTTCAGCATTAAGTGATTTCGCCTGCATAAGCTTGTCTGTTATTCGGACAACTGGCAGGATGCCTTTTGTGAGGGCTTGTTGTATTTTGTAAAATTGTAAATCCCTCTTCTTTGTAGGCTCTCTCAATCGACGCCAAATGCCCGGGTTTACCCTGGGAGGCTTAGCTGTAGTACAATTAGCCGGTCTCTCCTGCGTCTCAAGCCGGTCTTTGAGATTTTTCTCGCTTAATTTGCAGCGGAACATTTTGTCAACTAGCTTGGCTAGTTTCTCATTTTCGAGGCTTTCGCCCACGGTATCGTCAGACTCGTATTCTTTTACGAGTTCCGAGAGGAAATCGTCCTCATCACCACTACGAGTGGTATTTTGCTCTGACTCATCATTTTTGCTATTTAGCACAGAGTCGTAGAGAATCTCGCAGTCAGTTGACTGGTCGGAGGCGCTCATGGAGCTTCCCGCCTCGCCATCTTTGTCTTTTGCCTTTTTGGCGGGAACGGTGTTTGGAGACTTGCTCGCCGGCCGTTTCCCTTTGCCTTTTGTCTCTCCATGAGGTGGAGTTGGAAGATCTGGTAGGCTTTTTGTTAAGCCTAGGATTGCGTTGGTGAGTAAGCTAATTTCCTCCGAAGAAGCGGCGGTTTGATTCTTGAGTTGTTGTGAGGAGTGTGGAAGGACAGCGTTGCGTTCGTCAGTAAGCGATTCCTTGTCTTCTTCAGCCTCGTCTCCGACTTCCTCGGCAAGAAGATCGTCCTCGGTCTGTTTGGACGTCGAGGACATCTTCGGTTTGATAAAGCACAGGAGCTACGTAAATATTCGGGAGCGACTTTGGGAGCACAAAAGTGCTACAAACGACCTTGCTCAAAGTCAAAACTCGCAGTGAGCTCGAAGTCACGTGACTTGCTATCTCATGTGATCTCAGAATGTATGCAAATGCGAGGTAGAATTGACGTTTTGAAGGTTTCAAAACATCTTTGTCACTGTAACTTCCGTCTTTGGTTCAGCTTCGTAGCATTATCATTATCGGAGTTATCATTCAACTGTTTGGTACATTGACCCATTTTACCCTGGCTTGTTGCTATTCTAGCAAATGTCATGCATGATAACGAGCCTGTATTCGTAAGACTCCACCTTGGCTCTTACTGTATTTCGAGATTCGAGAAAATTGACGTTTTGAAGGTTTCAAAACATCTTTGTCACTGTAACCTCTGTCTTCGTTTCAGCGTGGTAGCATATTTTGGACTGATTGATTCAATGATTGTCATTTGCTTTGTCTCTCCCATTTACATTTCCCTGATGTAATATTACCACGAAATGCTTGATTGATTTCCGTAATATAATTAACAATAGAATGCGGAGTCTAGAAGTCTCGTGGCGTGATTGATGAGTCATAAGTAACTGAAGCTGGACAAGCATGACCCATGAAATTTTATTCAGTGGATTATTTTGGGCGCTGCTGATGCGAATTAATGAATCACAACAATTGTTTCTCACCGATGCGGATTTGCTCGATGTGATATGAATAAATTAAAGCGGGAAGAGTTGTTTGATAAAGTGGCCACTTCGATAACTTTTACTCCACGCTTAATGGCGTCTTTGGAATTGCTATTGAAAGCTAACACCGTTCTCTGTTATGGGCGTATGTAAAATGTTTCTTTGCCTTAGGTAAAAGTACTTTTCAGGCCTGTTCATGAGTCAATACATCAAATAAAATGAGACGTTTAGCCCGTAAGTCAATTAAATTGTGCAATCTCAGAGAGGAGACGACCTTAACAAGTTGACTCAAGCGTCGAACCTCTCTTTAGAAACTACTGATATCAACATGTTCCTAAGTGAGTGGGTAACAGCTGGGTCTAAAGAGATCCCGGACGGGGCTTCCATATTTAGCCCGGTCGGCAACATACGCCGTTTACGAGTTGCCCTGGTGCCTATGTTTCAAAACGAGGCATGTAATGCTGGCGCGTAGCTGTTCTGGCCACATGTTTAGTGCTATAAATGTGTTTTTGACTTTTGCAGCCTTATGCTTCACTCACAGGAGCAGAGATTGAGTGGCTGAATCATTTTGTTACTGTACTAGTTTCGAGTGTCTTACGAAATGTGTTTCTGTAGTTGATAGCAGTGTGAATGACTCTGAGGCAGCTAAAGCTAAGCTGGTAACGACAGTCCGGCATGCATCTGGAATGTGTCACTACATTACGCATATATGTTTTTCTTCCTTGTGAAGTTCATTTGTGCAGGTTTTGCCGATTTATCTCGCGAAATTGTTTCTCGTGGATGAACATCGAGATGGATTTTAGAAATGTAGCAAGATGGAGTAAGCTGGTACAAATGGGTCTGCTTTTAACCTTGTTAAACACATCTTGGGGAGTTGGCGGGACATAGAAGATGCTGGACGACAAGGTAAATATTAGAGTTCTGTTGCGCTCCTTCGTTTTGTCGATTGCTAATACAAAGACTAAGGAATGGTTGGCTTAAAACAACACAGGAATTTTTTTATCAGTAATCTGCTGATTTTCTCTCTTGTCGACTAAATGGCGAAACTGTTATGTTTTCTTGTATTCTTATTGCAATGGTTATTGTGCACTTGGTCGATCTTGAACGATTGGAATGCGTCTACTTGAGATTAAGTAACGATGATATAATTCATTGGCTCATGTATAGACTCGTTTTCAGCCCTCATGTATGGTCGTCAGGTAATAAAAATCGTTGGGACGACGCAAGAGCTACGATCGAAACAAGTGGCAGTCATGCTGATGAGAGTTTCAAAGTGATGTTTCTTGGTCTTGCCTCCATAGCACATTGATGACGATATATCGTCGAATGGAGCCGTGAGAGTACTCACTCAGTGGTGGTGAATTGACAGGCAGAGTACCTGCAATAAGGCAGGAATTCAAATTCGAACTGAGAACAGGTTCAGATTAGTTAAATAGTGAAGTTAAACTGTTCATGTAAGCTAGTAGACTCGCGGACTAATTGAGAATTCTGAAGGGTATCACGCAGTGACTGATGATGCTTCCAGCTGCTCTGGCGGATGAATGGGAGACCTGATTATCAAATGTATATCAATAGAAACGTATAGAAAAGGGGAGAAATATTGAACGGTTTAAGAAGCTACTCTGTGTTCTAATCAGTCCCTAACGAATTTAAATAAATGTAGCTTACCATATGTCTCTATTGCATTATCAGAATATTAAACGCAATACAAACGTAAGCTGGTAATGAAACATCATCTCAGATAGCCTTAGACTCCATACATCATATAGACAATATAGAGCAAATTTTATATGATCTATATGTGATGAACAGAAGATAAATAAATTAGAGAACACAGGTGAGGATGATCATACTTTCTTGGAGAACATCATGTACATGCGAGACCAAAACCACAAAGGTGCCAAATGTTCTGGGGCTGTTCCCTGGGGTATTCAAATGCCCGTTCTGGGCTGATAATAAAATTTGAAATGGCCCGCCTCCAGAATGAAGACGCGAGCAAAACCCAGCTTTTTGCTGCCTGGAAGGGTTGGAAAGAACACCTCTGGAATTAACTGATGTATTAAGGCCTGTCCAAACGGGAAATGTTTGGCGACCAAACACCGTCAAACATTGTTTGGTGACCAAACATTTTGCCGTTTAGCCACCTTGTTTGGTGATGTTTGATCGTGTTTGATCGTGTTTGGTCGTGTTTGAAAAAATTTGAAGGCTATCAAACATTCGATCAAACAACTTAAAACATTTCTTTTGTTCTCGTGTTTGATGGGCGATGTTTTGTTCGTTTGGACAGCCATATCAAACATGTTTGGCGCGCGCATGCGTCCCACGCTTGTTCAGCGGCTTGTAGTCATAGTTTAATCTGTGTTTGATCAAACTTGTTTTTATCGTTTGGCCACTCACTTCAACATCAGCATGTTTGGTCACCAAACAATGTTTGATGATGTTTGGTCGCCAAACATTTACTGTTTGGACAGGCCTTTACTTCCCCTAGAAAAAGATGGCGGGGCTGATGAGATCGCATGTAAATGCAGGCTAGGTTTTGACCACGTCTGGGTTGGTTACCTCACCTACGGAATCAAGTTCCATGGCCTTATGCCAATGCAATTAGAAGTTCATTTCAATTGTCATGCATTCTTTTCCAAATGTCTATTTGGTACTTTAGCAAACAACTACTAGCATGCTAATCAAAGTCAGAATTATGTACATAATCAGGAGTATAGTTAGGGGCATCGATTTTTGGCTCACGTCTGAAATAGGGTGTGAAAAATCACACATTTTGGTCTGAAAAAGGGTACAGGTTCCAAGGTTGGGGCAATAGATCCCTACCTAAAACTTTCAGGGAGTACGCCTCTCCCCAAGGGCTTCCAGCAGTTACTCACACTTCCCTCAAAAATCACTTATCCCTTTCCTACTACTAAAGAAAGAGGCACTGCCAGAGGTAGCTCCATAGCTAAAGAACATTACACTCTGACCTCAGCCAGAGCACATAACTAGGGGTTAAACACCCATTTCATTGCATCACCATATTTCCATACAACAAACATTAATAGAAATAAAATCCAAAATCAAAGGTTTGAAAACACAGTCATCCCCCAGAAACAAAGTTCCTGCAGATAAGTAACTAAACAAACAAAAGTTGCAGTGTTTTTCTACTACCATACAAATCAACGAAACATCACAATGCTACATAGTATTAATTTTCTTTAGGCATGAGTATATTTTTAACTCTATGTGTGTTGGGATAAAGTTAGATTTTTAAATGCAAATGTTAAAAAAAAACACATAATAAGCGAGTAGTCAAGCATATATTGAGTCACGCTAAGCCGATTTCTATCTATTTGTATGCCCGTTTTTTATCAATGTAATTTTGCAAAGCCCACCCAAGGAGTCTCAATATTTGCTCAGGGTTTACGATGACAATGGGCACAATCAGCATGGCTGGAAAGACAGTCTGCGGCACTATATGGACACATTTCAATCTACGTCTTCTAATAGAGGAGAAGATATCTAGAGAGTACAGTAAAATTGTGTTTTGATATCAAGTAATGCAAAACTACTGTCTTGAGAAATGGAGGAGGTGGCTTGATACTGAGAAAGGTGCTTTGGCTTTCTGCTCTTCAATTTTCAATCCATAGTATATTATTGTAGACTGGGGGAAAATTAGTGCAGGTGAAGATGAAAAGCGTTGGAGAGTTCCGGGGTTTGTGTGCTAACATACTGCTGCTCTTTGTAGCAGTGACAATAACTGGTCTGGTGATATGACGAAAATTTGGCAATACTAGGTCTGTTCAATATGTCCAGTTTCCAAATTTTATTAGTTGTTGTTTATTTCAGTTATTATTTAGCTAAATAATTATTTCCCTAACGTAAATTAATTGATGGCACTCATGACAATTTAGCTTAAAATTAGGAAGCACCATTGTTGCTGGTCACCAATCATTTATCAAAGAAGTAATTTTCAAAACTTTCAAAACTGGACAAACTTAGTAACAAGCATGCGCAGCTACAATGTTAAATAAAAACTTGTTTTGATACAGTGACATTTTTTTGCAGCCTTTGATTAGGGCAAGTATTTTTTCTGTTAAATATTTAATTTGGAATGTTAAGGTCCAAAGTGGATCGTGAAACATGCTTTCTTAAGGGTGCAGATTGGTTATGTATTTTGTTACCATATAGCTTAAGACTGGATCAGACTGAGGTGTCTCGCATAGAAGCGATGTAGCGCGTCTGGTTTAAACTATAGATATCAAAACCCTATATTACATATTGAAGCTGGCTATCAAACTGTA